CAAGGACACGGACTGCAAAACTCGAAATTGAATTAAGATAACAAGAATATCCACTACCCCATATCGTCCCTTGGATTACATAAGAGGAAACAAAACAAATAAACCAGGAAAAGGACAGCAGTGCCTTCTTATTAACTACTTGTAAATTAAAAAACTGCAGCTTAACTTATGAGGTGATCGAAGGGAAGACCTGTGGTCAGCTGTGGACTTCTATAGGTTATGGGGGGAGGGGGGAATATCTAATTTAATCTGACTCAAACAGATTTACTTATAGACAATGTACTAACCCAGATGGAGAGTCTTTAAAAGACAATTTAAATATTCATATAGACATTTATGTTAAAAAATAAACAAGTTCAGTGAAGTAAGATAACCCTGTCTCTAATGGCCGGCTTATATTATCTTAACCTTTAGGAGAGTAATTTATTAGAAACATGTAAACGGTAGCTTTCAGTGGTGAGTACTCCTTCCAACATTATTATAGAAGTAATTTGTTGTTGCGGTACCTGGAAGATAAATGACGGCTCTGTGGCGCATTGACTTAGTATTTAGCGGTGCGAAGAGCCGCGGGTTGGAATACCGTGACAAGTACTATTTCTATGGCCTACACATTAGAATAAAAAATTAAGTATAATAAATATAAAAAATTGTTTCGGTTCTGGATGTTTGTCCTCATTCAACAGGAGAACGGGAGCAGAAGATGATGCTCCTGTTTCAACTGAACTGAATTAATTAATGCACCATCTGTCACTAAACTCCATCTAAACAGCTGGACCGATCTTGGTTATTTTTATGTGTGTGTTTGAGTGGGTCTGTGGACGGTTTATATTTACAATTAGATCTGGAAGGTGGCGGTGGCTTCGGATTCTGTGTGCTGCCCTGTTGTGTTTTGTACGGTGAGTGTACAGAAATTAAGACCATATTTTACTGGAAGCGAAGAATTCTATCTCAGTTCTCAGTGGTAACAACGCATCTACTTCTTGATCCTCAATTAATTGTAAATATAGATCTTTATTGGCCGTAGCATTCATATTATTTATTATGTTGACATAAGCTATCTAGACACTACCGAAGAGCAACTTAACAAACTTGAGCGACTCCAAAACTATGTATAAGGCTCATATTTAGACTTCGTAAATATGACCATGTATCAGAATACCGCACTAAGCTCAAGTGGCTTCCAAACCATCTTCGTCGGAATACTCATATCCTTTCTGCTCCCTACTGCGTTTTATTTAATATATCAAGTCCGTCCTACCTTTAAGAACGTTTCCAATTTCTCAACTCCTCTCACAAACTTTCCCTTCGATCCTTAGAAAACCTTTTCCTTCTACGTCCCTTGCACTCTTCTACATTTTACAGTAAATCTTTTTCAGTTCTTGGAAAGCTTTGAATTCCTTACTATAAATACATATAAAATAAAAATAACTATAAAACGTGCTCAAACAATAGGCGCCCTTAAAAACCAAGTTAAAAAACATTATCTTTCCTTCTAAATGATCCCTTCTCCTTTTACCTATTCCTGTCGTTTTATGATTACTAATTCGTCAATTAAGTAAATTCCGGCATGTTTATTAAATTTATTTTATATTTATAGATTATAATATTATTTATATTACACAGATACTATATGCAAATACTATATGAGTGAGAAAATAAACCAGGGAAATATTTTAACTGATATACACATAAGATAAGTAAAGTGTGTTTTAATACGTAGTAGGATTATTGCTGTGTAACCACAAAGCAATAAATAGATAGATTCTTCTGGATAGATACAACTCTCTTGCCTATCTCTGCTGACAAATGTCAGTGCCGGTTTAATAACTCACTGTGAGCCATTCAATCTTTTTTTTTGTTTTTTTTTTTAAAGTTACACCTACACTAGGAATTTTCCTGTATCGTGGAGGCAGTTTACAAACATAAATTGCACAAGGACTAACATCCAGACCCGGAACAATTATTTGTAGGCCATGCAAATAATTGTTGTGTGTTGTGTTGTGTGAACCCGCGACCCCCAGCGCAGACACTCATTGCTAAGCCACTGCGCTAGAGGACATCAACAAGACTTGTTCAGCCTTCTTTGTTTAAAGTTACTGCAGGCATCCGAGGACTGCAATAGCTGTAAGTGTTAACTATTTATAAGCTAAACTCAGTTATAGTGTTTATTACTAGGTGGCTATCACTAGCTGATAGAACTCCTTTCGAGTTAGGAGTCCATCTGGTTGGGTAACTACTCTCTTAAATATCCTTGCTGCCAATTAGCAATGCGCTACTGGGTTCCGGTCTGAAGGCTATAGAGAGCCAGTATAATGACAAGCACATACATAATTACAGGCTTACAGAACAGCAGCGTAAAAAAACCGGCTTAATGCTGTTATGTTTCGTACGGTGAATATAGAGAATCGGAAACTTCTTTAACTGGAAATAAAGTATTCCATTTTAGGCTTTAGGGGCGACAACTCATCTATAACATTAACCTCTCAGGAACAGGTTAATTCTTTGTAATGTTTGTAGTGGAATCCACTGCTGAACATAGGCCACCTCATATACTGGATGACCTTTTTTACCGTCTGGAACAAAATAGGGTTGTAACACGTGATCAGAGTAGAAGCCTATTGAACTGATATTTTCTAAAAAATAAAGACAAAAATTTGAATTAAATGAATAAATTAAGTCTATCGAAATTCAAATCATATCGTTCCTCAGTAACGGAACAGAACGGCGGTAAAACAATTAATTTAAAAGGCATCTTTGACCTTCACTTTGTTGGGTCACAGACTAGGATGGATGTGATATGAATTTCGATAAATTTCAATTAATTTATTAATTTAATTCAAAATTTTTTGGTTTTTATTTTTTTATTAAATATCAGTGTCATATGCTTCTACTCCGTTCACATGTTACACCCTATTTCTTCCCAGACGGTAAAGAATAGGCTACCTCAGAGGGGCATTTTGCCATAGTTGCTACGCTTGACAACCGCAGTTTCTTATTATTTTAAGTTGTTATCAGGAAGATGCTCCTGCCCATCACCAGTGGATATTATTGCACCGCAAGCACGAATTTTTCGTTACTTGTGACAACAAGTGGTGTTATTCACTTCAGTTTAAAAAAAATTATATACGTTGGTTACTGCCTGCCAAACGTGAATGGAAAATACTCTGTACAACGGAAGAGGTTCATATCTTTCTCTTGACTTTCTCATATCTCATTTCCGTAGGGGTTCCCAATCAGCTCGATGTGCTGCTTCAGTGCGTAGTGGCGGACATCATTCTTTCTTTGTCACCTAGGACGTAGAAAATTATTATTGAAAACTCCAAGTAATGATTATATTGGAAATGGCAAGGATCAAACCCGGGTTACTCGCGTACTGTAAAACATACAGTAAGAAAGATACCATGCTGGTTCTATTATAATGCATAAAGTCATGGTAGAAATTTATTTTAGATTCTTGATGGTTCCTCCTTGAACAAAGGTAAAAAAAATTACTTTAAATATATTATCTAATAATAAATAAATAAATAAATAAATAGCCTTTTATTTCCAAAATCAAAAATGACAACAATTTTTTTTATATATAAAAATTATCCTTACTCAATTAGTTATATTCATAACATTATCAATTAGAAATAGAAGAAATATTATTAACATATTATAACACATTGACATTTAAAAATTAACTTATTAATGAATAAATATTTCATTGCATCTTATATAAATTAATCAAACAATGACATTTATTTAATTTATTATTATTAAATATTTAAATTAATTAAAACAAGACTTAGCATAAGAAAACTATTTGCATACCTATATTAAATATTTATTTTATTATTATTTACCATATAAAGTCCCTGATTTCGGAATGTCTATTGACAAAGGCCTCCTCCAGACTTTTCCATTGTTTCCGGTCGAGTGTTAATCGTCTCCAGTAAGGTCCAGCCATGTATTTTAAATCATCTTCCCACCTTCTACGCTGCCCACCTCTGCTTCTTTTGCCATCTCTTGGATACCAATTTGTGACAATTTGGCTCCATTTTTCTTGACGGTTCCTGAGCATGTGTCCAGTCCATTTCCACTTTTGTAAGTCTATTCTTTGTAACATATCAGGTACCTGGGTTTTGTTCCGAGTGTCTTCATTCCTGATCCGGTCGGTTTTCTTTATACCAGTCATGCTCCTCTCCATTGCTCGTTGGCATGTTAAAAATTTATTTCTGTGTGAACCTGTGAGGGCCCAAGATTCGCATCCGTATGTTAAGCAGGGAAGAATACACATTTCGAACACTTTTTTCCTGCCATTCCCAACTCTTTGCTCTTCATTATTTCTTTTAGTGACCAATACTTTTTCCACCCATTCGCTATTCTTTTATTTATTTCCTTGGATGTTAGGTCTTTTGGTGATATATATAAATAGGGTCACCTTGTCTGACTCCTCTTCTTATAGGGAACTCGTCTCCTAGTGTTTCGAGGTATACTCTTGCTGAGCATTCATCATAGACTTAAAAGATGAACGCCTTGCCTTTCTAGACTCTCCCAGATAATTTCTTGGTATAAACTGTCAAATGCTTTTTTATAATCTACAAAGGCTAATAGAGTGGTTTATTATATTCATTGTACCTTTCGAGAACCTATTTAACCGTGTGGATATGGTCAATGGTTGAAAAGTTACGTCTAAAACCCGCCTGTTCTATTGGTTGATTTTCGTCTAATTGAAGAGTGATTCTGTCGAGAATTATTTTAGCGAATATTTTGTAAATGTTCGACATTAAGCTGATTGGTCTATAATTGCCTATTTCATCTGTTGCTCCGCTCTTGTGTATCAATATGATGTGTGATTTTGACCATTGATACGGTATTTGACCTCTATATAATAATTCAGTGAACATTCTTGCAAGTATTGGACATAACTCCTTAGATGTTCCTTGTATAGCCTCATTCGTAATCTTGTCTGGACCGGGTGCTTTATTTAGTTTTTGTGAGCTTAAAGCTTTCTCTACCTCGCTACATAATATAGATAGGGGATTGTCATGTGTTGTAATAATCGTTTTAAACTTTTTATGCAACGATACTTCTATACTGTAGAGACGTCGGTAGAAATCAGTAGCACACTCTATGATGTCCTTACGTTTAGTATATGCTTTATTCTGTTTTCTGATTTCGGGGATCCATTCCTTGGTAACTTCCCGTAGCTCTTTAAGTGCCTTCCTTACTCCGCCTGATTTTATGATGTGCTTATCGATAACTTCCAGTTTGTGTTTCTTCCGGTCATTTTTAATGGCTTTATAAATAGTTTTACTTAATGCGGCAAGGTCTCTTTCTTTGAGTTTTCTGTCTTTCCAATTTTTTGACATTAATTTTTTTCTCTCCTCTATAAGTTCGATTGTTTCTATACTCAATTTACGTGTTTTGTCTTTTGAGGAAGTAGGTGTGCAACTCAGTTGGTTTTCTATTAAGTTGTACCTTGTCTGTAGATCTAGCTCTTTCCGGCTCTCCCTTAGAGGTGTGCTATGCTTTGAAAGAGGAGAATAAGGCATTTTTATTTCTTTCACTTTGTTACTTATTTTGAGATTTTCCGTGATTATTTTGCGTGACTTCTTTGCAGGTATCAACAGAAGAGATGAACGAACCATACGATGGTTAGTGTTAAAGTATAGTGTTTGGATTACTTCAGTGTTTGTGAAAGCTTTATGATTATTAGTTGTAATATAATCTATTTCGTTCCTATATTTTCCATCCGGTGATTTCCAAGTTCATTTGGTTTTGTATTTCTTTCTGTAGAGGCTGTTTAGTATAGTTAAATAGGTTCTAGCACGAAATCAATCATTTTTTGCCCATTCTTGCTTCTCTTTCCGTGACCGAATCTACCAAGAACATTCTCTTCACCACTGCTTCTTACTCCAACCTGTGCGTTAAAGTCACCCATTACAACGATATGGTTATTTTTTACTTTAATTATTGTTTCACTGAGGGCTTGATAGAACTGGTCTAAGTCGCAAGGGTTAGCTTGCTCTGTTGGGGCATAAATTTGTATGATTACCCAATCCTTGCTATAACCAGGTAATGTCATATTGACATAGGCTATACGGTCAGATATGCCTCTGAACTCCTTTATTTGATTCTTCAGCGAGGCTTTAATAAGAAATCCGACTCCCCTTTGTCTCTGAATTACACCTTTATAGTAAAGTATATACTGATTACGGTCTTCGATTGATTCTCGAAGTCTGCGCATTTCGCTGATCCCCAAAATATCCCATCGTAGTTCCGATAGCGTGATTTCAAGCTCTTAAAGGTTTGCTTCTGTTCTAAGAGTTCTTGTGTTAAGAGTTAATATTTCGATTGTACCTCTTCTTTTAGAACCTGTTTTTGTTATTAGAGTTTGTTTTTTATTCGATAAACTATCGCTGGAGGGTTCTGGTCTAAAGCTCTCGCGGCGACCACCCGTATTGAGAGCTGAGTTTAATGTTTTTGTAGAGTTTTCTTCCTGTTTCTTTAATAGATGTGGAGGGGGCACTATTTGTTGCTATTCCGTAGACACCATGGTTTCCTTAACCTTCTTTGTCGTATTTTCCTTTACTTTTGTTGTTGCCATAAATGCTTTAACAGTCCTATTCCTTTTAGACGTATGAGTAATGTTATTGGTAAATGGAGAGTTGGGTGTTCCAGAGTTTTCTGGTGATACCGATAAATTTCTCTTGTTATTTTGCTGCGGTAATTTTTTGTCCTTAAGAATTATAATTTTACCATACCTGATGAAGGCATTGTTTCCTTGCTCTATTTCTTTTGCCAGGTCTTCCTTTAACTGTTTTCGTTTTTCTTCCTTTAAGATTTTCTTAGGATAATCTTCCATAGTTTTCTTACGCAGCTGTCTCTCAATTTTTTCCAGGGCCATTTCTTGTTCCGCGAGTTTTTCCTGCAGTTGTTTAGTTTTTGTTTCAATTTTTATGAATTTTTCGTTTATATTGTTATTGATGTTTGTTGTGATATTTTTTTCCATACCTTTTATTCCTTCTTTTTGGGATATCATATCAGCCTGAATTTTAAGAAGCATATCTTTAATTTCCTCCATATTTCTTTAGAACAACAATAAGCTTATCCCGAATAAATGCCCTCTTTTATTTAGTAGTGATAACCTTACTGTGATAGGCCGTGAAGTATTGTTGTAAATTTTCCTATTCACCGATAGATGGCGGTGAAGTGACCTTAGATCGATGAATTAATATTGCTTAGTCATTTTAAATTCTTAGGTTATTAAATCACTTATTTAACCGTTTTGGGTTTTTATTCCGACACTTATTATTGATTTTGGTATTAAAACAATCAAAACGTTCCACAGTAAGAGTTTTAAGATATTTCACTTTATTTACTTTATAAAAGTCTATGACCGTTACGATCCTTTTTAACACTTTCTATACTTCAATTGTTAATAATATTCGTGATTTTACACTATTTCACTATAAGACACTGTTAAATCCACTTAACTTCTATATTTTTCTTACAATTAGCTCACCTAACTTTAGGATTCGGATTCTGTGTGCTGCCCTGTTGTGTTTTGTACGGTGAGTGTACAGAAATTAAGACCATATTTTACTGGAAGCGAGGAATTCTATCTCAGTCCTCAGTGGTAACAACGCATCTACTTCTTGATTCTCAATTAATTGTAAATATAGATCTCTATTGGCCGCAGCATTCACTTACCAATCAGGTGGACTGTGTGATCGTTTGACCTCATTCTATATTTAAAAAAAACATATCATGATTGTCATAAAAATGACAGAAGGAAACTGGAACAGGAGAGAGCAGCAGCATTTTGTGGGAGAAGTCATTATGATGTTAAGCAGTAAACGCCTAGTCCTTGTCTTGCCGACAGCAAATATCTTAGTGTAACAAAAGCTAATGCACTCTTACCTTGAAGACTTTTTACTGGAAATTTTGATTATTTAAAAGGCATTTCATCTTAATAGGTTTTGATTAATATTAGATGAGAGATTTAGATGACTGCGTTGTATTTGTTAGGCTCATTCCATAAAAACATTTCTCTTCACCACCGAGCACTTTGCAAATAACCACTTAAAACTGCAATTCACAATTTGTTAATTGGTGCTGGTGGGAAGCGAATCCGGGATACTTGAACTATGATACTTCCTGCGAGCGCTTAATCCTTCGTATTTAATAATAAATATACGGTTTTTATGAAAAATTCAAACAAAGGATATAGTATATTTTCTTTGGTTTTTAAATATAATAATACATTTGTATTGAAAAACGTGCGTCTACACTACACGTTCCGCCCATCGCCTTTCTTTAGCCCTTGGATCAGAACTAAATGTGTATGTAGGAAGTAATTTCGATAAACGACAAGGAATATAAACGAAAACTCAAACTTATAACTTAAGCAGATTTAGAGCTGGATCATGCTATTGTGACTGGCAAGTATGTTATAAAGTTACAAGCGGACAAATTCCATCCATTTAAAGTTGAAGTTGTTGGAAACAGTGACTGTGACATGAAATACATTTTTAAAAGCCAAATAAATTTGAATGAAAAACTTTGAATAGACCTTGGAGCGCTGTACTACATAAATCATATTTAACTTTTAACGTAATATGAATATTGAATAAAACTAAATTTACGGAATCTATCGCATTTATTCAACTGATTTTACTTATTTTTAATTCCCGAAGTTTCGGGTGCTTTACAGCAACCATGGTCACGGGGGGGACGGAGATGTTTGACGTTCCAATGTCATTGTTAGCCCGGCTACCTTCAGTTTTTTGAATATTAATTTTTGGTCCGATTTACGCAAAACCAACTTACAGTATCTTGAAGTCTTGCAGTGGTATGCTTGGGTTTAGGTTTAATTTTGTTAATTATAGGGTCCCAAGCAGATGGCAGCACCCAACCATCTTCTCTATTGAAATTAGGATGTTTTTTAATTTCAATAGCCTCGCATATCATCCTTGGTAGGAATCGGTGTACTTTTGCGAGGATTTGTGGTTTATCAAATCTGATGTAATGGTTGGGGCCATCTAGGATATGATCACAAACGCAGACTTCCCGGAGCGTCGGTGCTTCACGTCAGCTATATGTTCTTTCACGCGGGTTTTTATGGATCTTTTTGTTTGACATGTAAGAGAGACCATATTCACAATCTAACTTGTACACTCCTGCATCTTGTAGAGGTATATTACACTTGACGGATGGTAAAAATTGAGTAATCTTCTTCGGCGGCTTGTAGTGTTTTAATGGAAGCTCACCTCAAGATGTAGCAAACCTTCTCTGTGACTCCTCTGACATATGGTAGTACAGCAGGCACACGCTCGACTGTGGCCGGCTTTACTCGGTCACCTGTGACGTAGGCGCGGGATTCGAAGCTTGTTGTCTTGCAATACTTGCTTGACATGCTGCAGCTCGGCGGCCAGATGTTTTCTGTCACAGATCCCTCGTGCTCTCTGAAATAAAGATTTACCCACGGTAGCTAACTGTGAAGGATGATGGTGAGAATCACCATTTAAATATCGGTTGGTGTGGGTCTTTTTTTCTATACACAGTGTGACCAATAGTGTTATCAGGATTTCGAATGACTAAAACATCCAGAAAAGCTAAAGAATTATTTGCCTCTAACTCCATTGTGAATTGTATTTTAGAGTTTATAGAGTTAAGGTGGTTTAAAAATGCAGTTACTTTGTCAGATGGTAAAATTGTGAAGGTGTCGTCTACGTACCGCTTGTAGAATCTTGGATTTAAAAGAGCAGTAAGAAGGGCTTTCTCCTCGAAGTCCTCCACAAATATGTCGGCGACTATGGGAGATACAGGTGAGCCCATCGCCACACCATCTACTTTGTTGTAGAACTCTTCCTTCCACAATAGATAGCCAGATGTGAGGCAATGTTTGAGTAATACTGCATATTCAGCAGGCATGTTGTTATCTTCTAGCTTCCTAGTTACAATTGAGATGCAGTCTTCAATAGGTAGGCATGTGAATAGTGACTGAACATCAAAACTGACCATAGTTTCATTGTCAGCGAGATGTAGGTCTTTTATCTCACTAACAAAATGGTATGAATCCTTTGTGTGTGCTCTGGTATGTCCTCTCAGTGGTGTCAGTATTTTTGCCAAATGTTGTGCCAGCTTATAAGTTGGTGAATAGATATGGCTCACTATAGGACGTAGTGGAGAGCGTTTGGTTTGTGTATCTTCGGTAACCCATACAACCTTGTTGGTTTGGTACATGATGGTATTAGCGAATTCACGTCGAGATTTAATTTTTCGGAGTATTTCTTTATTAAACCGCTAGTTGCTTTAAGCGTGTTAGTTGTGGGGTCTGTTTTGACCTTTTTATTACTTTCGTCCGATAAAAGCTGTAGTATTGTTACGCGCCGAAGTCGACGGCACTAGCGCCATCTAGTATCAAATTGAAGGACTAAACTTCTTGAAGTTGAAACACGAACTCTCGGTACCTTGCGCATGTTTACTTGAATATTTTGGATATTTCGCTGCTAATTTATATAAATAGGCGCAATGCGATCGGGGAAGTATTGGATGTGGCGAGACAAGCGAAGCTTCGGAGCGGAATAAAGTGAATCAGTGTGATAAATTTTTAGTGTTTTAAGTTTTAATTGGTGTAATGAAAATTAAAGTGTTAATTTAGGTAATTTTATCGGCAATTTTTATTGTCACGAACCTCAAGCTCGTAACAGTATTTTAAAACTATACTCTGACGTGTCCATTATTACCGTAGCGTTTCCTTTATCCGCACGGAGAATCGTTAGCTCTGGTCTGTTCCGTAAGTTAATCAACGCTGTAAATTCGTCTTTAGGAAGATTTGGTTTTGGCACTGCACTACGACGTAGCAAGGACGAAATATCTTGACGTATAGCCTCCAAATCTTCCGTACCGATATTATTCTTAAACAGACAGTCCTCAACACTGCAGATAATTTCTTCGTACGGGATTTTTCGTGGTGATAATGCGAAGTTCATTCCCTTCGCTAATACCTTTATTGTCGGTTCGTCCAGTGTATGTTTTGACAGATTATAGACTGTGGGTTGTTTGTTGTTTACGTCTGTGGTCAACGGTTGTGTTTCGTTCTGACGTTGACTTAGATGGTTGGCATTTGATTTGATTGTTAATTTTTGGTATTTTTCTATTTGTTTATTTTTGCATTCATTGTATTTTGATGTTTCTCGTTTGTTTAAAGTTCGATGCAATTATTAAAATCAAATGTCGTTAAAACTGTCTTTAGTTCACTGGACAAATTGTCTATGGTGTTGTTTATGAAATGTAAATCGAACCGTTTCTGCTGAATCACCGTTCGTAACAACTTTTTACTTGCCTGATTTAAGATCTTAGCGCTTCCTCGAATGTCCTTTTTTGTTGATATTTTGATACACGTAGGAATGAGATTATGGTATCTGTATCTCTTTAAGAAATTTAAAGATGTTATATATCTTGCGCCCTTGGTTTTAAGCTCTTCTAATCGGTGAATTTTATTTGCTATTACCAGTCCGTACTGGTTCACATAATGATTTCTTAAATTTACGCGAACACTACACATTGAATAAAACTAAATTTACGTAATTTGCGTAAATCGGACCAAAAAATTAAAATTAAAAAACTGAACGTAGCCGGACTAAATATTACATTGGGACGTCAAATATCTCACTCCCCCCCCCCCCGTGACCATGGTTGCTGTAAAGCATCCGAAACGTCGGGAATTAAAAATAAGTAAAATCAGTTAAATAAACGCGATAGATTCCGTCTCATCTGTAGTAGTGTAGTGTGTAGAAGACTGCATCTCAATTGTAACTAGGAAGCTAGAAGATAACAACATGCCTGCTGAATATGCAGTATTACTCAAACATTGCCTCACATCTGGCTATCTATTGTGGA